TTGAAGCATAGATTAGTAACTACTCCTATATTAATTTACTCTAATTATAAAGAAGAATTTATTCTTGCTACTGATGCCTCCTATGATAGATATGGAGCTACTCTCAGCCAAATCTCTGATGATGGAAAAAAACATCCAGTTGCCTATGCAAGCAAAAGTTTAAAGAAAGAAGAAATCAACTATAATGCTACTAAACTTACTAAACTTGAATGTACTACTATAGTATAGGCTATAGATCATTTTTACAAATACTTAGGAACTTGCTACTTTACTCTAATCACTGACTATTCAGCTCTTCAATGGTTAAAATCTTTTTTACCTAAATGAAGATTAGGATAATGGATGATGAAACTTCAACTTTACAATTTTACAATAATACATAAATCTAGATGAAAACACTTTAATATGGATAGCCTCTCAAAATTACTGAACCAGATATACCCTACCTCTATTCTTAAAACATGAATTTGGACTAATACTAAAATTTAGTAGAATATTTAGAAACAGACGAACTTTTCTCTGATTTAACAGACTTTGAAAAACAAATACTTCTTAAACAATTTAGATATTATAAACTAGAAAATAAGTTACTATACAAAAAGAATAGAAAAGATCTAGACAAACTTATCTGAGTTATAAAATAGACTGAAGTAGAACCAGTTCTCTATATGATACATAGATACCCTACAGGCAGTGTTGTCATAGGACACAGACGCGAATAGCAGACAGTTCGGGATGGGACATCCCGGACATGTCTACCAAATTTTTTCGTCCTAGACAATTAAAATTATAATAAGGATAGCTGTGTTAGCCAATCAGATTTCGATAAACCATATGACATAGAACAACCATCACGGACATGAGACATTGTTCGGGACATGAGACACTGTTCGGAACTGTTCGCGTCTGTGCAATTTTGATGAGACAGCATCTGCATACAACACTGCTCTACAGGTAAATATCTAAAAACAGATGCAATATATTATAAAATATCTGAAAGAAATTATTGAGATCAGATATATAGAGATATACAAAATTATGTTCGATCATATGAAACATGTCAGAAAAGAGGAAAAGGAAAAAAAAAAGAATCTCTTTATTTTATTCAAGTTAGATGTGGCTTTGAACATATAGGAATCGATTTAGTAGAACCCTTCCCAATAATGAAACAGAATAATCGCTATATTATAGTTGCCACTGACTACTTAACTAGATGGCTAGAAGCAAAAGCAGTACCAGATATAGGTGCTAAAACCTTAGAAAAATTTATATTTGAAGAAATAGTTTGTAGACACAGAGTACCTAAAATGATACTCTCTGATAACAGAAGAAATTTTACAAGTAAAACAGTAAGAATATTATGTGAAAAGTTCTTAATTAAACATATATTCTCTTCTCCTTATCACTCCCAAATTAATAGAATAGTTGAATGATTAAACAGAACACTATACAGTTCTCTTGAAAAAGTGAAAGAAAAAGATGAAGATTGGGATATACATATACTAGCTATAGTATTTGCATACAGGACCAAAAAACATGCAACTACTGGATATACTCTTTTTCAACTAGTATACAGATGATAAGCTATACTTCTAATTAAAATAGTTATACCAATTGAACTAAAAGAAATAGATAAAGAAATCAACTTAGAAGATAGTATTCTATATAGAGTATTTGAACTAATAGATAAATTACTTTATTAACACAATGAAGCTCGAAAGAATATAGATAAATCTCAACAGAAACAGAAAGTTAGATTCAACTCAAAGATTCATGCTGAAGAATTTGAAATTGGTGATAAAGTATAGATCTAAAGAAAAGATCTTGAAAACTCTCACTCTGCAAAATTTGAAGAAAAACAAATAGAACCTTTTATTATTCAATCAAAGTTGAATAATAGAGCTTACAAACTTAAAACTAATGAAGAAAAAATACTATTAAAATATTATAATAGTGACAGACTAGCAAAATATTATGAAAAACAGGACTGGCAACCTGTAATTGTAATAGAAAAGTAAATGATTTTTAGAGAAAATTCTTGAAATGCTACAAAACCTATTTTAGAATCAGATTTAATTCATACAATATTAAAAATTTTCTTTTGTATTATATTAAAACTTATAAATAGTGTTTGTAGTCAATTTTGCATTAGTCGATAAAATCGGCTTAGCTGGTTTAGTCAGTCAATTTTTTGAAAAATTGACTTAGTCGTAGTCAACAGTAACCAATCAGTCATAGTAGGATTCCAACAAATTCTGAAAAGAAAATCAATGAACATAAAATACGAGCAAGTTTGAGACAGAAATCTCTGATATGTTCTGAAAATTAAATAGGATAATTGATTCTGACTTAGCTAGCTAAGCCAATTTTTAAATATTGGCTTAGTCAAGTCGATAAATAATAGTCGACTACAAACACTACTTATAAATAGATACTCTTTTTCTTTATTTTTCCTAAATTTAGAAAAACTTTAAAAATTCTCTACCCTTTAAAAATTATTCTTTTTGATAAAATTCTTAAAATAGACTCTACAATTACTCAAAAAATGCAACCTGAAACTTTGGATACATTGAATAATTTTCTTAGCTGATAGAATGAAGATTTGATCTATTTAATCTCTTCTTTATTAATTACAGGAACTCAATTCTCTCTAATTAATAGAAGATTACTAGAAACTTTACCTTCAGATAAAAATACTCAGAATAACAACTTAGAAATACTACTCTTAATAGAACTAGACCTTTTAGAACAACTCCTCACTGAAATTAATTTTGACTCATCCTATCTTAATAGAGAAATAACCAAAGAAATGACCCTTTCAACAGAAAATATTGCTTCTTTAAATAGTTGCAATTTAGAAACAGAACAAGAAAGCTCTCCTCTTGCAATTCCAATCTCTTCTCAAGAAGATATTCAAATAAAAATCCAAAATAATTTTACTACAAATCATGATGAACCTCTAATTAGAATTAGCTCTCTCTCTTCATCTCTCTTTGAGGACCAACTTAATAAAATAATTTCAAGACTCTAGAATAGAACTCAAACAAAGAATTAAGAAAGCAGAATTAGAACTTTTGAAACCTGCTATTATTTAGAAATATTAAGGAAAACTCATAGTTAACTTCTCGAAGCTTAAAAAAATCAACTAAACTCTTCAAAACAAAATAGACTAGTGAAAGGCAAATGTAATCCTAATAGGAGCTGAACAAATCTCTAAACTCTTTACCCTCTATAGAAAAGAAAAGTTATACTCTACTAAGTATATCACCTTAAGCAGTTTATATCACTTAACAAATGACAACTTTACAGTTCTCTTTAAAGCATTAAGGAATTTATAGAGTTTATTTTTGAATAGAACAGAAATGTTATCAAATGAGTTTTAGTAATTTTATCTTTAATTTATATTTATAAACTCTTTCTGGTTCATCACTGAAAACTAACAAACTACAAAATTTTATTAAAAATTTCTATGAAACTCTCATAAAATTTAGGAAAAAGGGTAGCTACCCTAACTACAAGAAAAAAAAAAACCTCTGTGCTTAACTATAAATGGTTTATCAATAAAAAGATCTTAGACAGTAGATACAAGAACCAAAAAAAAGATCTTTGACTTGTTTTCATCAACTGAAGAAAACTAGAAAGCAGATAACAATACTTTCAAGAGAACTTATAGAGAAAACCAAAGCTCCTCTAAAACAAATGAGCAAAAGATAGAAGACATACAAGCTAACTTAGAAGACTATCTCCTGAAGAATAAAGGAAAAAACAAAGAAATTTTTCTTACAGAAAACAACAAAGAAAATAATATATATGAGATAGAAGAAAATCTAGAAAACAAACAAAAACATATAAACACTACATGTGACTTGTCAAACACAACAAGTGTAAACAAACTCAACAAAGAATCAGATGACCAACAACTCGATCAAGCTAAAAGCAATCCTACTAAAATTAGATAATAGTTTAACTTATTCTCTAAACTAAAAGGTAGCAAAGCCACATTTGTCAATGCGACCCCAAGATATAGAATCTATTCCAAGAATGAGAATACTCTAATCTTTAATATTCAAGATCTCTTAAATATCTCAACTAATAATATTATTCTAGCTCTTGTTACAAAATTAGGTAACAATCTACTTGTTACAAAAATCTACTTATTTAGAAAGAAACGTATGTACTTTGAAGTAGTCCTCACTAGCAAAGAGGTTTAATAGAGATTTATAACAGAGGGGATCAATGTCTTTAACCAAACTCTCTTTGGTTATATTCTAATTAACTTCAAATGAAGCTTTCTCTTAGTAAAGCTAAGAAACATGCCTATGGATGATAAAGTTTCTATTAATGACTTAGTTAAGAATGCTTTTCAAGATATAGGTACAATTGCCTCTATAAAACTATTAACATATGAAGAAACAATAGTCTGTTCAGACCAATAGATAATCACTTTTGAGACAACTGATAATCCTAACCTTGTTCAAAGAATTCTAAGACAAACTCACATTAGTGATCATAAAATTACAACTGACTGGAAGGAAGTACCTAAAGTTTGCTACTATTGCAAAAAAATTAGTCATATTAAAAAAGACTATGAAGAATTCCAATTCTCAGTAGACCAGAGACAAAAACAAAAAGAATTAAAAAGGTTAAGAGAAAGCAAGTTCAAGAACCAGACTAATGCTAATATCTAATCTAGCTTTAGCTCAGATAACCTTTACATCACTGACATGGCTATTGAAGTTCCTAATAGCTCAGCTAGACCAGATAATATACCTACACCTTCCAATTCACAAATTGATAAGGTTTAATCTATAAACCCAAAGAATAATCTCAATAGATTACCAACATCAAACAACAATACTATTTCTACTCTGAACCAAGATTCAGACAAAGAAATAAAAATAGAAACAGATTCTTCAAATATAGTTATAATCTCTGAATCTGAAGAAAATATACCTAATGCTGAGAAGGCAAAAATTGCATCTGTATCAACAAAAAAGAAAAAAGGAAATAAAAGAAAGCTCTAAGCTTCAAACAATAGAATCTAAATAGCAGAAACTGAAGCTACTTCAAAAGAGGCTTCTCAATCACAAGATTAATAGCAACACCTACTATATGTGTGGCTAATAGCTTTATTAATATCTTAATCTTTCTATATGATTAAAATCACTATACTAAATATCAAAGATCTTAACAATATTGTTAAGGCCTAAAAAACTTTAACACTATTAAAATCTTACAAACTAAATCTAATACTACTTCAAGAAACAAATTTAAACGACTCAGCAACAAGAAAATTTCTCTCACAACAATGGGAATATGACTCAGTTTGGTCAGCTAAGGCTGCTACTTTAGCTGGCAAACTAAACATAAAATTTAATGACAAAAAGATTACTTACAATAACTGAGTAATC